CCAATGGAAATTTTACCGTGAACATGAGTAAAAGCAGGGGGAAAAAAAAGCAAGCTTACAGCCTTCCTCCATTTTGCATGTTTTTGTACAGCAGAATTAATCAGCAGTAATATCTCAGTGCGATTGGAACAATGCAGGCACATTGAAAAAAAGTGGAAGTGGTGGGGTTAAGTGTTAGTGCCAGTCTGGTATAGAGAGCTTATTGAAGCCAATGGAAATCTTACCGTGAACATGAGTAAAAGCAGGGGGGAAAAAAAAGCAAGCTTACAGCCTTTCTCCATTTTGCATGTTTTTGTACAGCAGAATTAATCAGCAGTAATATCTCAGTGCGATTGGAACAATGCAGGCACATTGAAAAAAAGTGGAAGTGGTGGGGTTATTTTTGGGCTCTTGCCATTGGGTGCAGTCCATTTCTGAGGCTGTGAGCTGGTTCCCCATGAAACCACCATGAGGGGGTGTTCAATTGGCCTTGCTGTCAGGAGTTGGGGTGGAGTTTGAAGTAGCTGACAAGTGCATTAGAAAAAATAAATATAACTGGAATGCTTGGGAAGTTACCTCATTCAGAGCTAGAAAATAATTTGGACTGCTGTGAGAAGGAATATTTGAAAAAAGATTATTCAGTAGGAAAATGCTTAGATTGGCTATTAATCCCCAGTGCTAGCATATTTTTTCTATATTTTTGTAATTATATTATTGCCAGCTACTGTGGGACAATTGACAAATAACATCTGGTCACAAAGCCTGTTCAGGGTGACGGAAAAATCACTACAGCAGCAATTAAAATGCTGAGAGCCAAAGAATAAAACAGCATGCAGCAATCAAATGAAACAGAGCATACTCTACAGTCAACAGTTTTTCTCCCTCAGTTTTAAATACAGCAGTGCCAGTCCTGGTTGTAACAGACACAGACTCACTGCTTTCTCAAGTGGTTCCTGCAGACTCTCCTGACACATTAAACTAACCAGGACTTTTGCATCAAATCCTGCTTGATCCTAGATGGGGATTCATGCTTTTGCTCCCTTTCTGGGTTAAATTCTTTGCTGTCCCTCTTTTCTTGATTTGCTTCCTCTCTTCTTTTTTTTTCTTTTTTTTTTTCTTTTTTTTTCTTTTTTTTTTTTTTAAGAGTCTGAATGGGGAGTGGAAAGGGGGCAGTGAAAATTGCTTTCAGTTTGTCTTATTTCTGAACACCTTATGCATATGCTTAATTTATAATTTAGCAGATAACTTTTGTATAAAAATAACTATCTCACAATTACCCCATACATGTATATAATTCTAGGTGTAGCACATGTGAAGAAACATGAGTGAATGTTTACAACTCAAGCCATATGATTTCTTCAGTTTACAGGAACTGTTTAAAAGATCTGTTCAATAGCTGAGGTGTATACATCAGTAGAATGATTACCTTTAAACTTTTGAAACAATATTTCAGCAACAATTTCCTTGTCTACAACTTTACAAGGCTGTAAATAGCCCCTGTGTGCATAATGAATTCTGACATCATAGGCCAGGGTTCTTATACACAGCAGGTTTTCCAGCACTTTTATGAGCAAGTTACACCTTGAGGCAAAACTAAACCCCCCAACTTCTATTATAAATGTTACAATAAAATGTTCCTTTGAGTTTTCCTAGAGCTCAATGTTCCGTCTTTCTTCCCGTTCCAAGTCATTCTTTCTGTGCTGTGCACGGATTTGATACCTGAAAAATGTGTTTTGCTGCAGACATATTGGATATTAGGTATGGTTACAAGGTGTTTTTTATGGCTAGGCTTGCAGGACCAATGTAACAAGGTGATAAAGAACAAAATCTCTTGCTCTTACAATACTGCACTCAAGGCTGCTGCTATTCCTACATGAACCATGGGCGGTGATTTTATTTATCCAAGCGCTGGGTGTAACAAAGCTCCAACATGTCACAAGCAAGGACTGGGAGGAGAAAGAGTCAAACGATTTTTTCAAAACATTGAGTAGAGACAGGCTTGCAATGAAACTATTCCGTGTAGCCTGACTGTGTTTCTCTTCACCCCCAGTGCTGTGGTGAGCCCATCTAACAGTGCTGTTCTAGGCTCCTTCATATTCCACCACAAAGCTGATGCAGCTTGTAAAGGTCCTTCTCCTCAGTTTTCCCACAGTAAGTACAGGCTTTAAAATCACAAACAAATCAAACTAGATATATAAACTAGATATTCAACTGATACAAGCAATCTTCTTTTAATCACTAGAGCCATTCCCAGCAACTAAAAGTGATCTTGGTTCAAGAAAATAAAGAAACATCACTTTTGTCCTCTGCATTGTCCCTGGGCAAGCCACTTGCATCTACATTTCTGAGCAGTAGACTAGCTAAAGGGTGGGAACAGTTGAATTAGTCAAGAAAGCACTTCAAAAGATGCAAGCAGACATTATTCCTAGGTGAAAAATGCAAATGGTAGTGCATCCTCACTGTGTAAAATCCTTTCCGAGCCCTTCCTTTCAGAAAAGATTTTGTGACAATGTGACCAACACCTGACTGTGCACAGGAAAAAGAAACCTAAGCAAGGTGAACTGAAGATGTTTATACAATCAGCTGCTTACTGAATGTGTGCTGCTGCCAAATGGCCATGCAAACACCCCCATTCCTGCTTTTGACCCTAGTTTCCCCTTCACTTTCAGTTCTGTGTCTGTGCCTACGTTTCTGGTATCCTCTGGTACGAATGACCAAAATCCACACTGAGACTATATATCTAAGGCAGAAGAGCTTGATTTGCATGCTTCCTCTGTGCCTTCAGGTTGAAAAGTTGTGGATAACGTGGAGCTACTTTTTCTTTGGATTCCATTTCACCTTGGTCTGTGGAAAGCAGACTTCTCAGGTGAGAGGATCAAGGCAAGTGGAGGCAGCACCACTTAGCTAGTGCTGCTAGGACAGGAAAATTCACTTCAAATCTCTGTCAGAAAACAGTTTTTTTAGAAAGCTGATACTCTTCTCCTTTTACAGACTCATCAGACGAAGATCAAAATGATGACAGAGTTTTCCTTGGCTCATTTCCTACGGCAGCAAAGCATCTTCCCAGTGTTGCCCCTCCGCCTCCTCAGCACACTGTAAGTTTCATTGTTGCTGAAGCAGGTTATCTAGAGGTCAGTAGGCTAACAGGGTGTTTGGATTTCCTAAAATTGTGCCTGTCCTTAAACGTGGCAAATGGGATTGTTTACCCACACACTCCCTCCTGAGCGTGGACCGCACACTGAAAGCCGCATACAATGCTGCTATTTCTGCTGCCCTGCTCCCCACCCCCTCCCTGCAGGTATTTCGGCTTTCCGTGGGGGGGCTCATTAAGGTTCATAAAACACAGTAAAGGACCTGGCTGGAGACACTTGTAATTCTACAGGTCCACCATGTGGGATATGCAATAAAAAAAATTGCATAGCTGGAAAGAGATGTCCTCAATAAAAGGCTTAATTGAAAGCAGCCCTGATGGTCAAAGTGGTATCAAGAGGAAGGAACTGCCATGACACTGAGGTTTGAATTTGTTTCCTCTGACACTGATTTCCTGTATGGCTTTGAGCAGTAAGGCACTAAATTTCTTCAGAGGTCTGTTTCCTACCCATAAAACAGGGATAAGAAGATTGCTTTTATTTTATTGCATTTTATCTTACCTATTTGGACTGTGAGTCCTTCAGCACAGAACCTCTCTCTAGCTGGCTAACAGCATCCACGTGGATGGCTGTTTAAGGTGCCAGCATTACACTGTCCAAAGACAGACAATATCTCTGTTCTCTTCTGCTATTTTGTGGCTCAAGAGGGTTTTATTATGAAGTGCAGGAGTGAATGTTACATTCTGCTCTTCTTCCTAGACCAGTAAAGAAGCCCCCTTTGCAAGAGTTCTCTTGAATTATTGAGGGCCCTTTTGGGTCTTCATTAAGAACTACATTATTCTTATTTACCTCAAGGTACTTCCACTGAGATAATTTCACTGTCTTCACAGATATTTTACCTTCTGTTTTTTCTCAATAAAAATATACCTGTAAAAGAATGACCCAATTAATATTCTAAACTTGAAACTTTCCAGTAATGTCATCAGCTTTGAACCGAGTATGAGAAACAAGGAAGAGCCTCCAACAATATATTTTTTTTTACTTCTAAAGTAGTGATAATCATAAAAAAGTCCTAGTTCTAGTTAAAGTGAGTGACATTTCTATTGCTTTTTGCTTTTCCTAAACACAATATTCAAACTGAATCTTAGCTTTGGCTGCTGTTCACTGAAAATACAGCATAGCACGAACACTTAGTACTACTTCTACGTTTTCTTGCCCATTTGTGTCATGCATATAATGTTAGAAATCACACATTACTTTGCTTACAGATTGACACTTAAACATTAATGTTAAAAAGGCCTTAGGTGCATAGTGAAATTTTGGGCCAGAAGAGGACAGTTTTGGAGAGGCTGAAAAATCACACAGATTTTGAAAACATCTATGTCTAGCTTAAGGGCTGGACATAAAGTTAAGGAGCTCTTACTGGAATATTAAAACATATATAATAAACTGAGCTTATAAGGTTTACATCATTCTGTCTTTTTGTCATGGCTTCATATTGTCTCCCTCCTTCCGTGCATGCCTGGCACCCATCCTGGAAACCACCACTGGTGTGAGCAGCAAGTAGTGTGAGGGATCCATCTACACATAGAAAAGTAATAGAAAAATGACAAAGTAGAAGCCATTCCAACAGCTAATGGCCACCACATCACTTTGAGTTGTGCTTGTGTCGGACAGCTGCAGGAGAGATACCATGGCACTAGGAATTGCACTGGGAACAAGGGATCTAACATCCACCCCAAACCCATGCTTGTATAGATATGAGAGACCACTTGAAGGATGACGGCCATCACCTGCCTGCTGTTCTGAGGGAATATAAGGCCAGGCTGAGTGCATGCAAATGCTCTGAGCCTGAGCAGCACAGTTCTTTTCAATATACTGCTGATTAAGGCAACCATAAAAACGAGGGTGGCCCACGGGCTGGGTTAGTGGTCACAACTGGGTGTTCTTTGTGGTTTGCAAACAGGTAAGTTGCTGTAGTACTTGCTGTATGTTTTTTAGACCCACCAAATATCAGTTGAGTAGTTGTTGTGTGAGTTGTTTCAATCCCCTTTGGGTAACAGACAGAAAAAAAGGAGTTGTCATCTTCAGCAGAAAGTGTTCAGTTGTATGCTTGAACCTTATTGTTGTAAGGCATGGATTAGTTCTTGGTATCTCTGAAGTTACAGTTGTGTGACTCTTTATCAATAAGTAATTGAGGCAGAGGGTGTGGCTAAGACAAGTTGTAATTTTGTATGTGAGCCTGTGAAAGACTTTTTTTAGAAGAAAAGGCAGAAGGTGCTATGAGTGCAGTGTCTAAAATATTGAGAGATCATTGGTGGTCAGAGGATGTTGTTGATAAGTGGCAGACTTCAGAAGGGCACAGAAATGGTCCTCAGACTGCTTCCCCAGTTCTTCTGTGCAGTAGGAAGTACTTAAGTTGGAGACATCATGGGAAGATGAATTGTAATGGTGTTTTTCTGACTGCTTTTTCTTATGTCAGTGCAGAGGAGCCACAGTCAGTGTGACCCTACCCAAATGGGAAATAATTCTGGGGCTTGGGGGAATCACAGCTCCTGTCCTTGTAAGTAGAGAGTCAGGCAGGAGCAGGTAAGTGCCAGAGGGGACTGTGTGGCTGAGCAAAGGGACAAGATAGAGTCTCTGTGTCTGCTGATCGTGAACTTTGTGTGCTCTAAAAAAGAAGAAATAAAAAACGATGTCCAGTTAGTTAAGCAGGGAGAAAGCATTTCTTGGCAGAAGACAGAACTAGGCTTGAAAAGACTTTTGGTAGGCATCCACAGCTAAATTAGTCTCCTGTCACCTGTTGGAGATAGAATGAGGACCCTTATAAAAGCCATCACAGAAACAGAACTGAGAATAATAGGGCAGTGAACTGAGTGCTTGGGATCTCTCTACACTACGACTAATGGTATGGCAATTAAAAAAAAGTATCCGAAGCATTAGACTACAGCCAAAGGTAAGTTATAAAAGGTGTTGTAGAAACTTGGGAGATGGGATTCTATAACTGCTATATCAGAATAAGTTACCATGGAAGGGAGACAGGGAAACAAAGGAAAGAGATTGCAGTACATGCCAAGAATTTTATACTTTCTCCGGAGAAGTAGAGATGAGTACCTAGTTTACGGGATGCTTCTGGGACACAGAAGTAAATATCTATAAGATTTCTGAGGTCACAAAACTGAATGGAGGAGTTAGAGTAGAACTTGGTTTTGAGTGACTATTGGAAGGATTTAAAAGGCAGGTCATGGTGGAGTTTTAATAAAATATATAACAGGACAAAACTAATCAAAATTTTGGAGAGTGCTGAGAACATTTAACTGTAGGAATGTGGAGAAAGCAATAAAAGGTGTTATTTCTGGCTGTTATTTCAAGAAGCTGACAAAGGATCTGAAGTTCTGAGGTAATTTAAGTGAAGAGGATAGTCTGAAATGGTTTGAAAATGGTAGTGGTAAAGCACCCGAGCTCCAAGGAGAAGAATATGTTCAAATAATGGAGTGGGACAATAGACTTGAAAAAAACTGTCTGCACCAGGCTGCCTCCTGGGACTTTAACAAGGTATCTGTCTGCTAAATCAAAGAAGGTAATGAGTGTTAGCTGATTTGGTCCCCACTTGTTTGTTCCTTTTCAGTCCAAAGTCTCTATTTCTCTCTTATGCTCACAGTTCCGTGTAAAATTACATTTATTGCTCATCATCTTGAGGTTTTTAGAGTTTCCCATGCAAATAAACATCCATGGATAAGTAAAGAATTCTACCAATAACCTTCACCAAGTCCTTCAATTATTGAGAAGGGTGGGGGTTTGGGAGGAAGAGGGAAGGAAAGATAGATAATTATTTCCTTCTAGTTATGAACACAGCCTGAATAATTTATTTGGGTCTACTTAATACATAGCCCATTGAAGTGACTTCAGAAGATCTTCTAGCCTGTCACTGCCACTGTGTGTCCTCTGGGAGTGGAGAACAGAGGAGTATCCAGGTGTGTCCTGGTGTTATCTTAAAACACACCTGCAGGCTGCAGTGTTGCCTTGATTATCTGCACACCTTCACAAAGGTTCTGCTTTGTTTTTGTTCTTAATGGTATACTAATCACCAGTTGTAGAAACTGGTGAAACTGGAGTCAAGAGAAAGCCAGCAAAGTGGCTCCAAAGTAAGACAATGCTGGTTAGACGATTTGATTGTTGTCACTCAGAATAATGTGGGTATTTTGTCAGTTCTAATAGAAATGTGTCTGTTCCTACCAAGGAGATCTAAGAGACACAAGGTTTGTAATGGTTGCTCATGTTTCTGTTGAAAGCTAAACCCATCTTGGCTTAGAAAGTCCCTTTTCCTACAAGTACCTACGAAGTCCCTCATACTAAAAGATATTTAGTTTTGTGTCCAAGAAGTAATATTAAATTCTGTCTTATCTTTTTACTTTGGAAAGCATGCGTCTGAAGAATAGAATGAGGGCCAAATATGTTCTGTAGGAATAGTTCCTCCTTTTGTAAGGGTGAATGATAAAAAAGGGAAGGTTTTGAGTCTGAGTTTTTCAGTCTGTGTAGAAAAGGGTTAGGATGTCCAGAGGTTGTTGCTGAAGAACATTTAAGACTGTCTTGGGAAAGGCAAATTGACCCAGTTATCATTTGGACAGTGGGAAGGGAAGAATCTGCTCTTCATTGGGGGTGTGTGGGCATGAAGTTTTTTGTTCTGATCCTCGATTGCAAAGTGACTTTGTCTAGTGCACAGCACAGGTGTCACACTTGCTGGATCAGATTTAGACGTCACGGAAACAGAAGATGGAGCATCTCAAGTGCCTCTATGGAGATGAGCTCCTGGGCAAGCCCTTGGTAGATTCAGTCCCAATGCAGACATAAGTCAAGGCATGCAGACCAGCACCTCCTTGTGCTGCAGGTCTGCTCTGCTCAGTGAGAATCAAAAGGATTTAGAAATGGAGTTTGGATGCTTTGGTGGAACCCTTGGCTGCAAGGGTCAGCACCATGAATCCTTCTATCTAGAAAGCAATTAACAATAGGAAATTGTGTCCCACTGAGAGTTACCCACTGTTGTGTTGACCTGATTAAATTGCCAGTCTGTGTGGAAAGGCAAAATGTATGTTGGAGCATTGGGCAGCTCTTGGTTGATGCAAGGCTTAGGCTTGTAAACTACACTGAGAGAGCTGTGGGCTAAAGGAGAAGTTATGAATCTGGAGAGACCAAGGGTGCTCTGTTGATCCTGACTGGTGTTGCTGTTAGACAGGGATCTGGAGATGTGGATGTTGCAAATGAATTAGAGGCACAGAAACCAAGTGCAGTCCCAGGTTAATCTGCCCACAGGCACTGTCCTGCTCAGCTGCAAGGAGACTTCTCTGTGAGCTATTAAACTTTTCCTTTTTTTCTGTAACAAAAAAAAAGGCATCTAGATCCTGCAAGCCTCATTTATTGGTGAAGTTTTTAGGCAAATTTAACAATTAACAAAACTGGGCCTTGTATACATTCACCCCAATATTCAAGACTGTAGATTTCTGTTGTATTCTGAGGTGTTTTTTCTTCCTCCACTCACTTGCTGCCTCTGGGTTAATTATGTTTAACTGATGCAAAGCAACTCTTCCACAGCAAGATATTTTTGAGCCTGATCCTGCAGGTTGTTACCCATCAATTAAATTCCAAGTCTTTGTTTTGCTTCTTATGCAGAATTCTTATGTTTTCTAGGTCAATATATATATGACTGTATGCATGACATGTAATTTTTTTTTCTTATAGTATTCCCCCACTGAGTTGTGTACTCTCCACAGTCCTTAACAAGTCCGGAAGAAGGGAACAAGTAGTCTCATCACCTGCAGCTTTACAGATAAACTGTCTCACTAGTATATGCTCTTACCTGAAAGGACTTCCTGGTGGCTAGAGCTAGACTTACAGCTAAGGACTCCATTTCCATGCTGCAGATGTAATTTTCCTGTTATAACAGTACAGCTGGTCATGTGTTTTGTATTTTTCTTGATGTAAAAGTGCCTAGGAATAGATATATCCGCTTGTATCTCAACTGCTTCAGATGCTTCCTACAACTCTTGCTAGGGCTGTCTGCATAGGTCAACATTTCCAGAAATGAAATACCTAGAAAGCATTCAAACCTGTATTTGGGAATCTGAATAGATGGCCAGCTTTTTTTTTTTTCTTTCTGGAAGGATGCAAAACAAATGCTATCATCACTAAAATCAGTGCTGGCTCTGATTTCTCAGCTATGACAGGAACATATGTCCACTTTAATTTCCTTTACAGTTCTAGTCCCTTAGTTCTATAGAAGAAAAAGGGGAACAACATGGAAAACATTCAGTGTCTGATCCAAAGCATGTTGAAATGTATGCAGATCACTGTCATGGGCTTTGGATCAGGTCCTAAGTAAACTAATTCTTGGATTGTCACCTCTGGTCATAATGACCCTTTATTTTGCCTTTTTAATAAATGATTGTTATAAAAAGCCTTATGTAATTTCTGGCATGGTTAGGTGTGTAAAGGAAGGTGTGTAATCTTAGAAATGCTCTAGCCAGTTTCTTGGGTTGTGTAACAAATAATTATGGAATCTCGTTGAGTCTTGCTTTATTATTATACAGCTTCAGGCTTTACCCCTAGTGGCTTTACATGCTTGTTAATATTTGAGCTATCTTGTAGCTTGGGTAATTTGTAATGAGTTTTGTTGTCGTTGTTACTGAAGGTAGTATTAAACAAAAGTAGTTGTTGGAGGAAAGGGGGAAAATGTGATGGATGATTTGTTCTTCTGAAAATGCTCTTCCTTGTTTTAACACCTTTTGGCTCATTCACAGATACAAATATGAACTAGGAAGCTCTTCCAAAACTTTCCTTGTGTGCTTCTCTAGCTTATCAGGAACACACAGCACTGTACTTCTCAGCAGATTGGGCAGTGGTGAGCACTAAGTTTTGATATAAAGAATACTTTGGTGTAAAATATAGATCACTCTTAAAGATGGTGGTTTTGCCTACTAAGACTAAGCTCTAGACAAAGACTATTAAAACAGAGGTCTTCTGACTGTAGAAAGTATCTCAGTTCATAGAAAGGTTGGAGAGAATTTGCTGTGAGGTCTTCTGCCTGTAGAAAGTATCTCAGTTCAGAGAGAATTTGGTCAACCTTTGCTGTGAAAAAGTGGACAAGATAGCTCTTGTCCCTGATGATTTTGCACCATCCTGTTTAATCATGAGCTCTTCCTTTGACAGCTCCAGTCAAAACCCAAGAACTTTCTGGTTGCTTATTCAAGACATCTGTGATCTATCTTCAGGGTCAGAAGAACAGATCAAAACCAGAAAAGTTTTGTGGAGAATTGAAGTTGGTCTTTGGCAGGCCAGAGCTTCTGCTTATATATGTGGTAGACAAGGCTTCAAGAATAGAATGTGCAACTATGAAAGGTCCTGGTATGGATGGAATGGTGGGGGGGGCGGTGCCTGGAGGGATTTAAATCATGACTTATTGTTAACCTCACTCTCCCTCACCAGCTTTTGTGGTCTTCACAGGGACCTGAGGACAGCACGAGCTGCATGGTCTGCATGATTCTTGATCCAAGGCAAAGGGACAGAGCTAGACAGCCTAATACTGATGACACAGACAGGTCCAATCCTCCCTACCAAAGCTGAAGTGTGTCTGGCTTTTTGAAAGAGAGCAGTTTTAATGGTGGAGAAAAAAAGCTTCAGGTAGGCTCTGAAATAACACTTACCACACAGGAGTGTTGCTTTGATTTTCCTAATAAAAAAGTCCAGATTGAGCTGCAATTGGAGAAACAGTAGCAACCAGTAAAGGTATTATGTTCATGATTACCAGTTCACTTGTGTTTGCAGAATATGGGTCCTTGGCATACTCAGCTCTCAAATCCTGTCTGTGGTTGGAGGCCTCCCAACCCAGAACTTTTGCCAACAACCTTACCTCTCAAAGCAAGGCACAGTAAAGGTAGAATAAGGTTCACAGGTATGATCAGGATGAGAGATGAATTTATCAAAACTGTTCAAGAGATTTCTCATAAGCGGGATTTAATGCAAGTCTGAAGTTATGAATAAAGAGCTTTTGGGCAATGGTTGCAAATTTGCCCCCGATGGCAGCTACAATTTATCCTGTGGCCTGTTATTAGGAAGTGCTTTTGTAACAAAATAGCAAGAGGTCCCTCTTCACACCACACAAAACTGACTGTGAAATTCAACTGAAAAAATTGGAATGGTCTTAAGAAGTGACAGGACAGATTTGCTAAAGAAAAGGGTTTTTTAGAGCTATTAAGCACAAAAATCCTGTTTTGATTTAGGAACACCCTCATTTTCATGCAGAGTTTGGAAATGCATGGGACTATGTTTACCTGCTGTTGGCCATTCCCTGAGCTATAGAGAATAGGTGTACTGGAGACAGGACCTTGGGCTAACCAAAGTTTCCCATTGATATAGGACTGGCAGATTTTTGGACATATATGAAGGGATTTTGGAATTACACAGCTTCCTATGTAAAGATACATAACAATTCTCACAGTCAAGCTTGGTGTTCCTTATGACATTTTTTCAACAGGTCAGTTGGAAAACTCTATACAAGTTGGTTGTAAATTTGGGCTTTTAGTAAGATATATTTCAGCTGCATGGAACATGCTGGAGTTATCCTGGGCAGAGCATCCAGGGAAAAGCTAATTCACCTGGCAGGCTGTGCTGGTGGTAGTCCAGCAAGCCTGTCCACCCTGCTTGGGTCTTTCAGCATCCCAACCAGGAACAGGCTGGGAGATGTTGTCAGAACTCACAGGTTCAAGTGAAGCATGTGGGCCCCTGGGGGGATGGACAGCAGTCACCTGTGCCACTTGTGGTACAAGTGCACGCTCCTGTCCAGAAGGACACATTCCCTTACTTGCCCACATCAAAAGGATGAATTCCCTCTCCCCTGTAGCATGTGGGTCTTTCTCTGATTGCAGAATAAGAAACTGGCTCTGCAAGTCTTTTTTCATACAGAACCTTCATTTTTTTCATGCTTCTATTTACATCATTGAAACTTGGAGTTTTAAAACCTATTTTTTTTTTCTAGCTTTGAGCTCTGTGTTCATAGTGCAAATATGGCCACATTTAATCCATATTTCTACTCTATCATATTATACAGCTGTTCACCAAGACATCATTTCAGTAAATGCCAATATATATTTATCTCTGAGGCCATAAACAGCCATAAAAATGTTTTTCATATAAGTGTAAATGGTGACTTGCCAAATAATTGAGGTTTTTATGTGTAGATAATATTTTGATGTATTATTCACACTGTGCATTGATGGGCCCTTTGCAATTACTTTTATTGGATGATACTTTAAAAAAAAGGTGGTTTTTCCCCCCTAATTTTGTCTGGCGTTACTAAGTAAATAGGTACTGGATTAAATAGAGCAAATGAAAAGTAGTACTATGTTTGACAGTGTTGATCAGGTCTCTGAGAAAGAAACTAAAGTTGAAATGTGAATAATTTCAAATAGGATGGTTTTTTTCTCCTTCCTGACTGAAAATCAGTTTCTGGTTTTGTTCTCACTATAACTTTATTTTAATGAAAAAAAAAATCTAGTTAAATATTTAGTTTTTCCTGTATGTTCAGTCTGTAGAACTAATGGAGCAAGGAGAGAGCCTTATGCAAGCAGGGCCACCAGTCAAGCTCCTCTACCAGCCTGTACATATAAACACCTCAGAGTTCAGGTATGTTTTCAGGCTGATATGGGTGATCAACACCGTATGGTTATCTCGCATCAGTGCAACTTGAACAGTAGTTGAGTTTACATGATAGAAAATGATGATAACATATCTCTGCATTGATGGGCAGAAGGGAACCCCCAGGGCTCAGAGCTATACATGGTGATAAGAGTGTTTAGGTTGGAAGCTTATAAACTTCTAGACTTGTGACTGATATGGTGTCAGGCAGAGCTGAAGCAAGGCCTTCAGGAGACTGAGTGGTTTCCTCCTCCTTTCCTAGGCTCCATCCAGTTGCTGCTTTGAGAGTTGATTGTCCTGAGAGGCAGCAGGGCTTGGACAAAGCTTCTATCTCTGCAGACATCGTGTGGAGTAGTTTTAGTTGGAACATGAATCCATGACCCTCTGGACCTCAGGATTGTCTCCAAGGTCCTAGTTCTCATGGATGTGGGAGCAGCTTCCCTCTGCTTTTTTAAAGGATGATGTGTCCTTGTCCATGAGTATCTGACTAACTCCTGCCTATCATGACCCTCCCTGAAGAATTAGTGTGTATTTTGAAGGCTTAAGCGGTTTTGTTCTGCTCATAAGGGGATGTGCCCTTGCAAGACCTGGTCTGTCAGACATTCCAGGTGTTGCTCATTGATTTCACCTCCCACTGGAGTAAAAATTCTTCTATCTTTGGTAAGGATGGCACTGCATGTACTTCTGGGTGGCATTGTATGAGGTGGAATTCTCTGTTCCATGCTGAGAACCTCAGAAGAACTGGATGCAGCCTGGCCCATGGTAAGCTCAGCACCCTGAAATCCCTCTGGTTCCTCCCAGCTTACTGCCATAAGGTTGTGGCCATAAGGCTCTTTGAAATAAGTTGAAATCCAGGAAAGCAGTTACTGTGCAAATGATCATTCTGTTCAGACTCTTGAGATCTCAAATTTGCTGTTATAAGGCAAGTTTAAAGAAATGCAACAGAAATATGAAAATAATGAACTATCGGAAACTTAGTTTTATGATTTTTTTGGCTTTATGACAAAATAAGTGTCTTGCTCAAAACAGAGTTTGATGTCAGTGTTTGAGCCTTCTAATTTGAACACCTATTTGGCCTTTTAATAATGCAGGGGACACAAAAATACCCCTTCATGCCACTGGTTGCTCAATTTGGCTGGGGTTTCCCATTACCTTCTTTCCCAGACTATTTATAGAATAGCAATTAAGATTAATGTATAGCTGCTCACCTTTAGTTCCTGGCTCAGCTGGGTTTTGAGCCACTCCCAGTAAGAGCTGACTGACTGAGATATTTAATGTCCATGAGAACTCCTGCTGAAATCAGCTGGAGCCATCTGTCATGCAGGTAGATATGTGCCTATCTGGAAAATAAATGGACCTTTTTTGCGTTTTTCACCATTGTGAAATGAAATTTTGAGGCTGAAGTCAAAAAGAACATACTTCTCAGTCAATCTATGGAAAACATCTTCAGTTTTTCTCAGTCTATTCTTGTAATTGAACGGGAAATTTATCAAATAAATAGAAGTGAGCTCCCTATGTGCATCCAATCCTAATCCAACCCTTTTGAGGGAAAATAGCCTTAAAATTCAACCATTTTACAGTTGTTATGAAGTGATGAAATGCAGTGATTGGTGAGGTTTTCTTCTGCCTGCAAGATTTTGTGGTTAGGATGTGACTGGGGACAATTGTGTAGGCATGGTCTGAGGGGTGCATGTGCCACTTAGAGGAATGTACTCTAGCAATAAGTGCACAAAACCGAAGTTCTTTTTGTGATGGAGATCCCTGTGATAGTCCTGTGCTGCACTTTGTATAGTGGTGGCTGATAGATTGATCCAGGCTATTGGCACAATCCCTGATTGTAGGATGTTACTTGCTGGCCCTGTGTCAGGGGATGTGGATGGATGGTGCTCACAAAAGCAGCCAACCAAAATAAATTGAACTCGAGCAGTGTTCAATCCTGTTTTGCAAGCAATTAAATAAGAATGAATATGATGATATGGTTTTGTCAGCCCTCATCACATCTGGGAGACCTGTAGGCACCAGCCTGTTAAGCCAGACTTCTTGATCTGGTAAGGAAGAGCAGAACTGTGCCAAAGGGAAGGGTCCCACGGCTTAGATTGTTATCTGAGTTAGATTCAAGTCTGGGTGCCTGTGACTCCTCAGAAATTGCAAAACCTCATTTCTTAAAGGATACTATGACAGAGTGTGCAAGTCCACAAGAGCCCCGCTTTTCCATTGCAGTGTCCACTGTGTTAGAATGGATTCTGGCAAAGTAACACAACTGTCTGTGTTCCTGATAAAGCTAACTACCAGAAGTACTCTAAATAAAAAAAAAAGTCTTTGCATACAACAGGTTTCTATATATCCTGACACCAAGCTGGCTGAAAAGAAGTTAGAGTTTAGTTGTCCCATGCACATCTATAATACTGTCACTTAAATATTTAAAACATTCACTCTTTTCCAGAGGTTTTTATTCACATTTAGAATAAACCTCCTGACTTCCACTGAATCAGGGCCCTGAAAACAATTTTTATTTTAGTTCCACAAGACAGTTTCCTTTCCACAACAAATAGTTATATTGGATGGTGCAGCAATCCTATAGGAAGAGGAGAAGTGTGGTCCTTTAATTTAAATAGTTCACTATGGTGATATGTGCATTGAATTAAAAGGGGCTAAAATAATGGTGAACACTGGTCCATTTTTAAAATTTATTTGCTTTAAGATGTTTTATTGTAGGGGCTTTTATTAATGTAGTACATATAAATGTGAAAATAATTACTAATTACTGATACCACGCTGCGACCTGAATTAAAAGGTTTTTATGACATCTTAGAGTAAGACAGTAAACTTCAGCTTTGGCTAATTAGCACAAGTAATAGCTCTAGAACTGTATTCCATGCTCTTCTCTGTTGTACAGATTTACTCCTCCAACTAACAGGCCTTTGGCAGCACTGCAGTGTTCACAAACCCATGGGTGACCTGGCTGACTTCTAGCTGCTTCAGCTGTTTCCTAGTTTGAGTCATCTCCACGCTGTAGGAAACCCCAGCATAATTCCCCAACATTTAAATCAAGCTATGAAAATTTACACCTTTCACTTCTTTTCACACAGATGATCTCTTGGTCTTGAGATTTCAGTTGTGCAAAGAACAAAAAGGTGTCTAACATAAATTTTCCTGATGCAAATATTAATTAAAGTTTGGGTAATCTTAGAATCCCTGCTCTGGTTGTTTGTAGTGGAGAGGAAGATGTTATAACAACAACATGATGATATATGTTGATTGTGTTGAGTCACCTGCTCAGATTTGAATTTCTCATCTGTGGTGCTAGAGATAATAACACAAAGAGGATATTCTCCCTTGCATCCACTGGTAACAGTATGGGATAGGGGAACCTTATTCTCAGCAAAGAATAAAACCAATCTTCTTTGTATGGAATAAAGAAATGGGGAGCAGTACCTAGTTCCTGTGGAGCAGGAAAATTCTAACCTGAATTCTTCTTGGGAGCTCTGACAAGTGTTTTATCTTGTTAGCTGTGGAAGATCCAAGAATTTCCCAATTTCTTTGGGAAATGGCATGAGCTGTGCTATACTGCAATTTTGCTTTGGCCAAGCTCTCAGCAGTGACTTTACTATGGGATGAACAGGCTTTGGTTTAGGAGCTGTGACCAGACAAAATACAGTTTATATGCTTTTTCTTCCCAATTTAGGATCTGGAAGGAGAGATGCTGTCTGTTAGAGACTTGGGGCAAAGTCCTCTTAGCAGAGGTTGCTAAGGCATCAGAAGAGTCAATGGCAAGTTCTGCCATTTTGTAGCCAGTTAGATTTGAGGGCAAAATAGTTTCTGTTTCCTTAAGGATAGCTTTGAATAAGGGCAAGCAAGACAAGGGAGCAGAGGGAAGTGAAAGGGGAAGGCTGCTTCTCTGACTGAACAAGGTTGTTGAAATGTTACACTGCAGTGGTTTTTTTTGATGGTTATTGCTGAGAAGGTTGAGTAACTGCAGTCTGTACTCTGTTGTCATGTGTGAGCCTGGCTGCTTTGGAAATAATTTATAACTTCTTTGTCCTTTTTTAACCTGCTTCTTCTGGAGCTGGCGGGCATGGGAAGAGCCTGATATGACTCCAGGTATTGTGACACAGAAAGCTATGCCTTGGCCATGTTCTTGCAATTAGTCAGAAAGAGATGATCCAGAGGAGTTCAGAGAAACACAGAAATGACTTGGGGGCTTCCTGGATTGACTTACGAGGAAAGAATTGGGTAAGTTTTTACTGTACATCTGTAAAGTTCTGCTAAATGATTAATGGGAAATGTGATGATAACATACAACTAATTGAGGCTTGTGTATGCCAAAGCAAGGGGAAGTACTCTGGTGTTGTATGAGGATGAGTACGGAGCACTTACCACTGTATTGAAGGTGGCTCTGTGAAGCACCCAGAGCAACAGCAGGTGCTTGCTGGTGAAAGAGAACTGCATTGTACTCTTGTTTTAGGAATAATACTAAAAATCTGCTGTCACCTAGTTATGCAACTTAACTAGTCTCACAAAGAAAGCCTGCAAAGATATGGTTTTCTTCTTCATTGCTTAGGATGCTCTAAATATAGCTACTAAATAATGCCTTGTTCCAGAAGTTTTTAAAAATAAACTTAAAGAAACTGCACTGGAGGGGAAGTAACTGGGTGATTCCAGAAGATGTTCCTATCCACATTTTTATACATTCTTATTAGAAATCTAGTGAAGATATTTCTGTAGTAAGATGCTGTGATTTTAAACAGTAATGCTGTGGAAAGAACTGAGATGGACAGTTTGGCGTCATATGCCTGGTTTGAAAGACCATAAGTAATCTGAGGTTTTACAGAAAATTGTCTTTTCAAAAATTCAAGATTGACAACTTCTACTTGGAATGTTGAAGTTCGCCTGCCTGTTTGTAACAGCTACTGAATAAAGTAATATGCCAGGAAAATGGAGTCCCAGATTTCTGCTGAAACATTGAGATCTTTAAGACAGTTAACTTAAAGATCTACCAAATAAAAAAATTAATTTCACAGAAGCAGTCTTGTTGAAGAGTCCTCCCAGTAAAGTATCCTGGGGTAACTCATGGACCCACAGAGTGCCTGTAGTTAAGCCGAATTTTGCTCAGGTGTGTTATTCATTAATACTATTTCTCTACAATGGACTAAAAACATTTTAGCAATATTAAGGATAAACAAGAAGCGTATTATTTATATGAAGGGTTGCCAGCTGACTGTCAGATGTTATTGGAATAACATCTCCAGTACCAAATTATGACTTAAAATAACAACAACAATTCAAACACAGCTAAAATAAACCCATTGGACCCTAAACCAGCTAAATTGTACTTATTAAAGCATTTATGAACACATACTGCATATAAACGTGTTCCGTGAATAGTTATGATCAGGAAGCAACTACAGAGGAATTTGGAAATTAGGCCAAACTAGGTGTTGGCCTATTTTCTTGGTTTTTCCCCTCTTACATGTTTTTTCTACCTTGGGGTCCTAGGTCCCACATGCTCAGCGCAAGACTTTGTACTGAGGACTAGAGTTGTATTGCTCCATCTTGGATATTTTCTGCAATTAAGGAGGGGAAAGAACCCACAAAAACATTGCTTTTCCCCATAGCAAAGGAGGCTATTAGTGTGCCATGCTGCTTGAAAGAGCTCTAACATTTTGAAACAGGTCATAATAAAGAAAACAATAGCATGGTGCAAGAGCACAAATGTGTAATGACTGTGTTCTCTCAATCCTTCATCATACTCTGCCCCCTCTGGCCCTGGAATAGAGGACAAAGACCTAGTCCATCCAGAGGTATCGAGGTATAACTTCCTGAACAGCAATGTTTAGCTCCTATGCAGGAGTAGCTTTCTGAAGCTGTCAATAGATAACCTGAAAAAGTATCATTAATATGTTTGGATGTTTAGAAGGGACTAGGTGTTCTGTAGCCATTTGTCTGAATTTTATGATAGGGTATTTGCACTCCATAGATGTCTTCTCTGAAGCTGGTTTTGGGACTTCTGAGAGTCAATGAAGACAATTTAGTCAAGAGGAAAATGTTTCCTCTTCAGGATGTAAACGAAAGATGGAACTATATTCACCCCATCATTAAAGTGCTACCGTAGTGCTCAGCAAAGTTGCAACAAACACTCTTGCCAAAATCACAACTTAGTGCCTCGAATTTGGCTGGAGGTGGATTTCAGCTTTGTTTTTGTCTACTTCAGACTTAAAAGGCAAGAAGCCTGGCACAACAAAAGGACTGACTCTCTTGCCTGTTATTAAAAGAAACACCTCCTCCAGCCCAGTGAAGAGTTGTGCAAAATGTGGGCTTTGGTTAGAAGCACTACCCTTCTATGTAGGGCTGTGTTGCTCTCCTTGCTCTTGTGTAGGAAGTTTCACCTTGGGTTTCTTGAAGCATGGTGTGAAAAATGAAGGCCCTGTGAATCTGAGTCCTTTGTATGTGCCTTTTTTGGGGTGGAATTTCTTTTTCTAAGGGTCTTCTGTTCCTGAAACATCCAGCCCTTAAGAATCACCATTTTGAAAAAATGGTTTGGGGTAGAAATACTTGCAAATTCCCAAGACAAAAATCCATCCAACTTTTTTTCAGTCTTCTTAGCATCTAGTATGATATGAAGGGCCACACTTTTTTCCTTAGGAGCCTTCACTAAAGAGCTGTGTTGAAATGAGTTTTGCAGCTAGCACTCCTGTTGAATAAAATGTTTGATTTCAGTGGATTCCTTCCTGAGTAGCATTATGGATACTGATGGGATACTTATGCCATCTTATGGGTGATTTGGAAGGCAAGCTGAAAGCAAATTTCAGGCTTCTTCAGATCCGGATGGTGAAAATTTGGGTTAATTAATCTGAAAGGAAAATAACAATCAAAAGGCTGTCCTGCTGGCATGCTTCTACTGAGATACAGGAGCTAAACACTTTGCCTCCACTGTAGAGGAAAATAGGCACAGTACTGTTATCCTGCTGCATGGACTCTGTGTAATATATGCAAGCTGTTATCCACAGATTGCTTTTGCAAGCTCATTTCTTTTATGAGTTCATGTTTGGCAGCTATTAATTCCTCAAGTGCACAAAATTCTGCTTAAACATCTCCTTTGCATTAATTTGATCTTATTCCATTCAGGAAAGGTTTATGCAGTTCTGCTGCTCACCAGCTTAAAATCTGTAGAGATGTAGGAAAGCAGCTAGGACTAACATTATTCAGGTAACCATTTTACTCACTACCTGCTATAGCTGGGGCAGGATATGGAGAAGCTGCCCAAAATAGTTGATCAAAATACTTTGATTGGCAGGTATGATTTTTTTTTCCCCTGCTTTAAAGCAAGTTTAAACATTCAAAGCCTGAAAGAGATGAATCAGTTATAGGGGGGGAAAAGTCTGAGGAACAAAATATATTTATTTGGGAAAGCTAAATCTCTCCTCAAAAAAGTGCTTAAAACCAGAGCCTGGTCTGAATCTGAATTCGCATGCAGTTCTGCTTAAACTGGTGTTTTATTGAAGAAACTGCAGCGGGATTGGAACAGCCAGCATGGGATATTTTCAGGTCCTTTCACACAGTGATAGACTTCTTTTGCTCCTTGTTCCTGTCAGGCTTTCTTTGCTATTGACTTAATTTTTGCCTGTGCAGTGTGTAAAAATCCCTCAAGTATCATCACAAACGGCACCCATTCAACAAACACGCTGTGGGTGATGCAGACACTGGTAGGGCTAAAAGGCCATGGCGCCAAAGTGTTGGCTCGCTGCTGATGTGTCAAATATCACAGGGCAAAAGGCTTTGTCTCTCTTCTGTCATCCTGATTTATTAGACGTTTAAAAAGACAAAGTACCCAGACATACAAACATCGCTGTTTTGGGAAGGTCTGTGAAATGGTTAATGCGCTTGTTCCGCACAAAAATGTAAAGTGTCGGTTCTCTGATTACCTGCCGCTGGAAAGTGTTTGGACAGGTGCTGTGTTTCACCAGCCGTCTGTCACAGCCGACAGCTCGGATTTATGGCTGTGCAGCGGGTCCGAGTGCCGGGCTGCGGCTGCTGCGGTCCCCGCGGCCGCTCTGCCCGCCCGGCCGTGCCTCTGCCGGGTGGCGGGGCCGCGGCACCGGCACAGCGGCTTTTCCCTGCGGCTTTTCCCTTCGCTCCCTCGGGAAGCCAATCAGCCCGCGTGCTCTGAGAAGTAGCGCGAATGGGACAATTTCCACCCAAAGGCCAACTGGGGGAAATTCGTCTCTTGCCTCCTCTTAGGAGGATGATGCTCAAGCAGGAGGAGGCGGAGAAGACCCTCCCTACCCTTCAGCAAGTGACAGCCGCACAGCCCCGCCGCCGAGCGGGCTCCGCACAGCAGGAGATACCTGCCCCCTGCTCCCACCGCCCCGCACCGGGGACCGCTTTAAACCCTCATCTCGACCGTCTGAGGAAACCCAAACAAGGGCTAAGAAAGGACCGCGAGGACACAGATATCCCTGTTACTGTACTGTTGCCATGCGTTTCTCGACATATCAAAAAATGGAGTTTCACAGAAGATAAATACAGAATAGAATACTTATTAACAAGGGCTATGTCGAACTCTGCGGGCTTTTTTTTTTGTTTTGTTTTTGTTCTTTTGTTGTTAAAATAAAGCTCAATGTCATCCTGTTCAACATACGTTTACACACAGCTCATCCCTATTCACACTTAAATATATCCGATTAAAATACACGCTTGTGGCTATAATAACTAATTCCACTTTCCATCAAGATATTTTTAATATACCCTGAAATATGACTTTTACAGATGGACAAAAGCAAAAGACACCAGGAGTTGCGTGCTAACAGGTTATATGGACTCCCATAAAAAAGAGACGGTAAAAAATACAAGCCAGAGGAAAGAGCAGATTATGGAAGGGTAGATTACTATTTGCACAGAGCCTTGAAGGCAGAATGATGTCGAAATAGTGTGTGTGTATGTGTGCGTGCGCGTGTGTACATAAAAACCAATTCCTTCAAGGGCTGGATTACTTCATACATTAGTCACTAATCTCTCGCAATGTTCTGATGGATGTTATGGTCTGAGCTTAACGCGGCGTGAAATCTGTTTGAGCTGTATTGAAACAAGCCGGTGTTTTCGGCCGCAGATTGTTCTGTTTGAAGCTTTCCTTTCACAACACACCTTTGTTATTCGGAATAATTTTTACGAGTGGGGTAGAAGCTAGGCTTCAGTTGCTGAATCTCGGCGCTGAGGGAACAAGAGGTAGGAGAGAAACTCCAAGGTCCGAAATAGGTATAATTAAAAATTCTCCTTGACATCGTTTTTTTAGGTAACCTGAGCTTACAGAGGACTTGAAGGGGAAAAAAACTCGCCGATTTTCATACTTTTAAAAGTATTAATTAAAACAAGCAACCGAACAAACGAACCCCGAATGATCATTTCAGCATTTGTATAATCTCTTCGAGTTCGGGAAAGACACTGATTGGTAATTCAGCAGCACGGGCAGTTAGCCTCCCCAGCCTTTCCTTTTCCCGATTTAGCCTTTCTGAGGCTTTGCTGATCGCTTCTGACAATGCAAATCAGCCTTAACATAACGCCCGTCGGGAGAAGGCAACGCCTGCAAACTTTTTATTACCAGCAGATACTTCCCCAGCTTTCACCCCGCTGAGGATTCGCCCGCTGTAAGTGGCACCGGGGATGTCTCCACCAGAAGCAAGCCGAGCCCGGTTGTGCCAACGACCTTCCTGAAGCGAGTTTTCCTTGGACCGAGAGATGACAACAGGATTACATGTCGCCTGCTGTCCTTCGTGGGAACAATAACAACCATAACCACAATAACAACAACAGAAAAAAAAACCCAAAACCCAAAAAAACCCAACCCCCCCCCCAAAAAAAACAAACCAAAACCCCAACGTTTTTTCGGGGGAAGGAAAAAACCGGCAGGCAGATGTACAGTATTTTCACAGGCTGCCCCACGTCAGGTGGTTTGCCTGCAAATCTCTCCGCCTGCAAATCCCCAGCATTTCTGCAGGGCTGAGCCTCGGCGAGAAATTCTGATTTGACTCGAGGAATTGCAGAGGACTTTCATTCCTGGCGGCAGCCCAAGAGGAGAACTTCTCATCTCCCGTGACTAAAATAAGGCGGGTCCGTAGGTGGCACCTCTACCCGCCGGCCGGGATGGGGATGAAAGGGCGGGCAGCCCTGCTGCCCCCGCGGCCCCAGCCAAGCTTCTCGTTCAAGGTTGTCCCACGACAGGCTTCCCTCCCTCACGCCAGCACAGACATCACGCTCTTCTCCTTATTACCGCCTTTATTTAGGGGGCAGCTTTTATTCAGGGGAAAGGAGAAAGGAAAAAAACCGGAAAAACATGGTGGCCGAGCGTCCATAAAATGCACACGCACATATATTACATACAAACACAAAAATAATATACGAAAAAATTTACTCTTCTCTTTCCAGTAGCAATGGTCTTGGCCATAAACGCAGAACGCCAGCCAGTACAGGAGACAACGCCTGACATTTCCTTGAGCCCTTTCCCCTCTCCCGCCCCCTCCAATAATTAATTTAAAAAGCTGCACTCTCTTTGTGTTAAAAACACTACTTTTATAAATAATTTAATATCCTCCCTTCCCAGGAAATGCCAGTTGCCGGACAGGAGAAAAGGTTTCTTTTGGCACAGTGATGCATTGCTTTGCAGTACAGACCTACGGCTCCTCAGCAGACCCCGGCCCCCTCCCCTACTCTCTCCCTGCTGTTCCCGGCCCCCCTCCCTCCTCCCAAGCGCACAGCGCATCCCTCAGCGGCCGCAGCCGCGCCCTCCGCGGGGCACCCCCGCTCTGCTGCCCCAGGCTGCGGTAGCGGGAGATGTGGGGACAAGAGAGGGGCACAGAAAGGAGATGGCGAGGGACTGGCTTAAGTCAAGTAGTCTCAACGAACAGTAAGAAGCACTTGAGGCTCATGGCTATGTCCAAACAGACAGTTGTTTGAATTTTTTTCATTTTTCCCTTTTTTTTTTTTTTTTTTTTTTTTGGCTTAAGTTAAACCCACTGTCATTTCACTAAGGCACAGTCACCGAGGCTTTTGCTTGGAGGCTGTGGTCGCCTCTGGAGTTAAAGTGCGGGATCCAGAGCCTCCTCTTTTCCCCCTCCACGCCTCCCCGGGCAGGTCCCTCGCAGGGGAGGAGGGGGGCTCCATTAAGCCAGCGGGGTCTCCACGGCGTACGGCTGGAAGGAGGCCGAGCCCCCCGCCGCCGGCGGCAGCGGCCCGGCCAGCCGGAGGGGCCCGTAGAGCGGGGAGCCGGGCGGCGGCCCCCGCCCGCTCTTGGCGAGGCCGGCGTGGAACAGCGTTGCGGCGGCGGCGGAAGACGCCGTCGGCGAAGGTGTACTCGCTGCTGGGGTTCAGCATCCAGTAGTTGTCCTTGCCCCAGGGCCGCGCCGGGTCGCGCAGCACCTTGACGAAGCAGTCGTTGAGGGAGAGGTTGTGGCGCACCGAGTTGCGCCAGCCGGTGTAGGCGCCGCGGAAGAAGGGGAAGCGGCTCATCAGGTAGTCATTGATCTCGGCCAGGGTCAGGCGGCCGCCGGCCGAGTCGCGGATGGCCATGGCGATCAGCGCGATGTAGGAGTAGGGCGGTTTCGGGCGCCGCGTGTAGGGTTTCCCCTTGGCGCTCTCGGCAGGCGGCGGTGGCGGGGGCTGCGGCGTGGGGGGCGGCGGAGGGGGATGCCCCGGCCGCCCGGCCCCGCCGCCCGGGCTGTTGGCCGCGCAGTCACCGTCCGAGCCCAGTTCGCTCTCCGCCGGAGCCGGGGAGAGCGAGCCGCTGCCTTCCTGGTCGCTGCCGGTGCTCAGCTTGTCCTCATAGTGCTGCGAGAACACCTCCAGCTTCATGGCGGCGCCGCCGCCGGCCCCCCCGCACCCCGCGGCTCCGCTGGGCGGGCGCGACCCCCGCCCCTCGGCGCGGCCTCAAGGGAGGCGGGAGGCGGCGAGGCGACCCAGGGGCTTTCTGTCCCCTCGCCGGCCTGGACAGCTCCGCGGTGGCAGGCGCCTGCCTCGGCTCCGCTGGGCGCCCGCCTCGGCCCGGGGTCGCTAGCAGGGCCCGGCCCTTCGCCGTCGGTGGGCGCCGAGGACGGGCTGCGGTGCCCTGCCGCCTTCGGGACCGGGCGATTCCTCCGGGCGTCCACCTCCTTCTTCCCCACTGGGATGCTCGCTCTCCTTTCGCCCCGTTTTTTGTCCTTCTCGCTCTTTACCCTCGCCGCTCCATGGGGCCGACGGAGAGGGGCGAGGAGGTCCCCGTGGGGCCGGTGCGAGCAGAGGGCGGACGGGCGGGCGGCTGCCGGAGCCGGCACTTCTCCGTGTCCGGCCGGGCTCGGTCCTCCTCGGGGGCGCTGCCGCTGTTACCGATCGGCGCTCCCCGGGCGCGGGGAGAAGCTCTCGGGGGCCGTCGGGGTTACTCCGCTCTCTCCGGCTTCGGCCCCTGTCAGTGCCGGGACGCCGGGCTGGCTCCTCGCTGCGAGGCGGGCAGCAGACGGGTTATTAGGGTTATTAGTGTTATTGTCATTATCTCTCCCTTCCCCTGTGGTTGTGTGTCTCTCCACCACTTTCAGACCAGCCCATTATAACGCCGGCGAGAGGCGGAGCCAGGACAAAGATCTGAAAGGGTGGTGGGTGGAGAAGCAAGGTAGCAAAGGTGGGTATGCCCTAATAAGCCGTATCAGAGCCGTAATTAGCCAAGATGACAGCGAGGTCTTGTTGGAAAGTTATTTTACGAAACTTGTTTGTATTTTCTCCTGCCAGGTCCCTCCCCTTCCCGGGTATTTCGAACGAAGCCGCAGTTCGGCGCGACTAAGCAGAGCCGGCCCGCCTCCCAGGTGTAAAATGCAGAATGACTTATAGGTGGCAGAGCTGAACCTGTTACGTGCAGTGATTTATTTTAATAGCGCCGTATAAAGCAACAAGTTGTAATATGACAGCTCAACAACCTGTTGGAAAATAATACATGGCTTTGCAGTTGTGAATTCCTAATGATTTATGTAGCCTGACAAAACAGTTTCAGTCCTGGTCTCTCTTTCCTTCTGTCATAAGCACACCTGGTGCAGAGGTAGAATGGGAACGGGTAGGCAATGCTTTGGAGTTTTGCTATGAGAGAGTTAGTCAAAGCCTTAACCTCAGTTTCACGTGTGCTACTGTTTCTGTAGTAGCGTTGCTTAAGCTCTTCTGGATGGTGTGTTAGTAACCTCTCTCACAACTACCACTCTCTAGTAAAATATTTTATTGTGTAGGTTTTGGGTTTGGGTTTTTTTTTAATGGTAAATAACATTTTTAAAATCACTGCGAATCTGTAAATTTCCCATAAAACTTGGGACAGTGTATTCTGCAATTTTACCTGGACCCTCTTTTTTAAAAAAAAAATAGTAATCCTTTTTGGGTTTGTTTTCAGGTTTAAGTTGTGAGGGTCTTGCCCTCCTTCAGGTTTTTTTTTTTATTCTCCTTCAACATTATGCTAGGTAGAGCAACTCAATAAAGAGAGCTAGCTGGCAGTAGCTTCTCTGAAAGCTCCCTGTTCTGCTCACTGAGAGTCCATTGCAAAATGCCATTTCACTCATACGGCAGTAGCGCTGGCGTCTGCAAAACAATAACAAAAGCATCAGCAGAAATCCAGTGTGGTGCTTATGTTTTATTTCTCATATGTATGCTTCGAATTTTATGTCCTGGAGTAAGAGTTGGATTGCTCCATGTTTTCCAAAAGCAGTCTTTCTAAATCAGACCTTATTTTAGAATAAATACATAGTGCAGAGTCACTCTGGTTAGAGCTATTCTACTGTGGTCTGGCTCTCAAGGAGTATTGGAGAGGAAGATGAAAAAAGACAGGTTTAAAAGACTAAGAGCAGAAACAAACAGCCCCACTTTCTATCTTGATATCTCTTGAACAGAATATATGTTCCCCCACACACACCTGCATTTTGTTACAAAGCTTTGCCATTTCTTCAGTCTGCATGGTAAATACTGAAGAGTGAGAGGTTCTTCTGTCCCTCATTGCATTCTTGACAACTTTAATAGAAATAATAATACACTGGATGTCTTGCTGTTCTCACAAAAGCTGTACCAGTTGAGAAAAGCAGGCAATTCAGAAAGACAAAAATAAGAGGAGGGAGACCTCTCTTGGTTCATTGTTGTTGTTGTCTCCATGTAATGTAAACTGAAATCCTTCAGTAAATTGTTGTCTTAGCTGTAGGTGCCAATGTTTGTGTTTAAGGGTATGGGAAAAAGGTATCATTCCTTCCAAAACTCATATTTTCTACGATGATGCCAATGGCAAGGGTAGGTTTGTTCCTCTTCCTGCTTTTGTTGTAAATAGCAGCGAAGTAGCGATGATTTGCTAGCTTGCCTTTGATGTTTATTTTATTACCGTTCCACTATTTGTGTGGAAAATGTACACATTGTCTCTTATCTTTATTCAAAGAACTTAAAAAGTCATTCAAATGCTGTAGGTAAACACGTCAGACATAACAGAAGCTTTTTCACAGCCATACTTCAAGACTAGGAGTGGATGGCAAAGCTGGTTTTGCAAGATTCAAGAGGGGACAGAAGCTTGTACTCAAAATAATACAAAGATAGCTATTAATGGGTGGGAGCAGGGCACCTTTCTAAGATCAGCACTGATTCTTGTTGTGGCTCAAGGCCCCTTTGCTATCTCTGAGCCAGTGCCTGTTGTAAACTGTCCCTTGAAATCTCTGGTGGCCCTGACCTGAGAAAATATATGAAAGGTGCTTATGAAAAGTCTGTGCAGGGTTTAAATAGAACCTTCCTGGCCTGAGTGAGAGCAATATCAAGCCCATTGCTAACGCTGCCCATGAAACACAAGCAAAGTTGTAAGAAGTGGTGAAATAATCCAACTACTCCCATCTCTCACCACTGAGAGTATATGTAACCTCAAGCCTTTTCCTGCTATAGTTTTTAAAAAGGCACAGTATCGCCTTCAGGTTTATAAAGATTAACACAATCATCGGAAAAACTGATTCTGTTAAGTAAACTTCACATCAAAAGCACTTTGATGTGCTGTATTATAGCAAAGCCAAACACCCCACCCCCATCACCCCAAGAAAAACCTCCAAAAACCTCCAGTGAAGCAAGGTAAAAAAAAAAGTCTAATTCTTTGTTCTAAAATGAAATGTCTCTTCCTCTTTAGATCAGCAGAGCAGGACTTTTTTTGATGTATGATCTCCTCTTTTCCTACCCAAAGCAGTATCCAGTCAAAGACAAACAGAGAAATGTGAATGGTCGCTTGAAAATCACGCGACCAGCTTTGCTTCCCATTTTCTGTAGTATTTCACTCATTTAATTCAGAAATAATCTACCAATGGGTATTTGGAAATGAGGTTGTATAGTCCTTTGCAGTTTGCTCAAGCTACCAATTACAAAAATATTCCTTACTAAATGTAGAAAAATGCTACGCTGTCTGGTGGTTGAGTGTATTTTTGGTTGATCCATGTTGTCTCCATGGTATTTTAAACTGTGGAGACATGTGTTTTTTAGTTCAGCAAACATCGTTCAAAGGTGTGTCACGATATGTTCTTGGTTCAAATTCTTTAAAAAATTGTTTCTTTCTGGTTTTTTTTTGGTTTTTTTGGTTTTTTTTTTCCCATGCAGTTCTTTCTTACTTCTCTTTTCTGCTTTCTGTCTCTCCAGACCACTAACTGTAGATTAGAGAGGGTTTCCAGGTAAGGTCATATAAGAACAACTGGTCAATAAAGGTCTCTGTGGTGTCTGGGAAAGTCCTGTAGTTAGTGGTAGGCAAGCTTATTTGTGCACCTGAGATGTCCAGCACACCAGCTGGACAAAGTGCTCCATCGTCTCTTCTCCTCTTGTGGCAAGCTGCAGGAGAGCACTGCCTTGCCAGGAAGGATCAGACTGGACAATGCCATACACTACGTGAGAAACAATGGAGCAGTTCAAAGAGTTTGCTCTGGATGGGCTGCTCACAGCAGGAGGTGTGCCTAGTATGCATAAATGAGCTACAGTCTGTGAGGGTTGGCTAATTGCACCATGTATATTTTTGTAGTTGAAGGAAATCCAGCTAGAGACTGAGCTGTAAGAAAGGAGGTTAGTGCAAATTCCTTGAGATCTTGAGAGGAAGAGTTTGATCATTGAAGCAGAATGCATGTCTGCGTGAATTCCCTCATTGGGAAAGACTGGCACTTTTTCAGAAGGACATCCATTCCCTCTGGGTAGAGATTTTCTGGTGTCTTTGGCAGGTACTAAGAGCTGAATTTACAACGGGGAGTTCCATTTCTACTTTGTTTCATGCAATCTTTATTTTCTTGGGAGACATTACTCAGAATGAAATTTTCCCATGCTGAGAGCTTAGTATCACTTCCTCCCTGTGCCCACTTCATGTTCCATAAAAAATGTCTGCATCTAAGCAATTTTTTTTTTCTCCAGAGCCCTGGATTGTGGCAGAATGGGCAGGCAAAGATTTTCTCCTGTGAAGGAAGTGACATTATTGTTCTTGTTATTAATGCTTAGTATTGGAGAAAAAAATTCCAGATTCTTACCCCATCCTTTTCACCAACAAATCTCAGACCTCTACCATTTTACAGGCGACAAGGAGAGAAGGTGAGTCCTGCTGAAAATAATTTGGGAAGTCAGTTGCAACCTTGCCTGCAGAATTGAGCTCTCTGGAGCACTTGTCCTGCGCTGTGTCCACTGAAGTATCCACCACAAGGCCTCACTGAAAAGTGCTGTACTATTTAGCAAGGAGCTGTCAAAATGGAGATTGCTCTGTCTCGAGACTCAGATAATTTATAGCTAATTCTCGCTTTTTACTAGTGCTGTGTTAAGCCTCCAGGGCTTGAATGAGGTTCCACACTGGCATAAGATGAACCTCTCTGGAATATATTGCAGGTTTGCAGTCTGAGAAATACGTGACATAAAAGAGTGCAGGGTGAGGTTAAATCAACACAGTATTTACAACATATTTTGTGATGACTTAATTCAGAAACTGTCCCCAAAGGCTTTTCTCATGGCTGATTACTGGGTTTCATGTAACTGCACTACGAGAGACAAAATCCAAATGGTGATGGACTTAGGGGCTTGTGGATCTTTTCAAGGGAATTTTTCTTACAGTAAGGAAGAAACTGGTATTGGAAAGCAGCACATGTATTGATAATCCTGGATATAATTGCCAGGAGAGAATTGCTTGCTAAGGGGCAGGCTCCACCGCAATTAGAAGTTACACTGTGTTATGCTTGTTATGAAGTTATGATGCAGAAGCCATTTGGTGAAATTCTGTGGCTCTCTGCCAAGCATAGTGAATGGTTTTTGCTACTGGTGCCAAACAAACTTAAAAAGAAACCATCATCGCTTGTTTTTGCTGGTGCCGGACCAAATATCTGTTGGCATCAAACTTGGTATTGATGCCAGAGGCTTGCTATCACTGGCCCGTGATATGAGGAAACACCAGCTGAGCTGTTAGAATAGCCTCTCACTGCCTTCAAGTCCATGCATTGATGGAGGAAAGTGAAGAACCTTGTAAGAGAATTACAGCAAAATTAACCGAGGCATGAAGGACTTTGAATATGTGGTGGAGGCTCACTGAACTTTGCTAGCCCTTGCTGGAGTACACCTAAGCCAACTCAAACCCACATATATTTTACATGGGTAAACAGTGACTAGAGATATGAAGGATATGTTTCAATTCAACAAAGTTAAAGTACTATTTATAGCACTGTGGATCAACAAATTAATCACCTTACCAATAATATTCAAGTTGAACAGCAATAAGTATTTAACATTCTTACTTCTGGGTTGGATTTCTTTTGTTGTTTCTTTGCTTTCAAAAAGCTATTTCTGGGTGTAATCCCATGATTTATATAAGCATTAACCAAATCTATGAATAAATAATGGTGTGAAAACCTTCTTGATTTTTATTTTTTCCAAGACCAAGTGAAATGCATTATAAGGGATCTATTTTGGAGCAGGCTGCTGACAGTCAGAATTTGCTGTGGTAAGGCAGGATTTGGCAGTACTACCCCTAAATTGTACCTCTCTGGTGCATTTTCTGTCTTCCATTTGCTGTGTTCTTTTTTTCTTTTCTGCAACTCCCTGGACAGCTCCAGAACCATTGGTATCTTTGAAAATTTGGTCCATGCTGCTGGCTTACTCCTGGAACAGAGAGCAGAGTTGTATGGAGGGCACATCCACTGCAGTACCTCAGGTGGCAAGAGATGGGAATTTATGTCCTGCAAACTGGTTCTAGGAATCAAGCATGTTTTCAACACCTTTCAGATGGCAGAGCAATGTAGCAAAGACTTGGAGAGCTGGTCCTTCTGTTGCTGCAGATGTAATAAAATCATTACTTTGTTGAGTTGCATACACTGTGTATTTGATTTCCAGTTCCTAGGTGAGTTCTTAAGGGATTAGCTGAGTTTCAGTCTCTTTAAGGTGTGAATAAACATCTTGTTACCTCACACCCATGAAATTTCTTCCCTACAGATGTCAGAGTGCTTTGTGTGCTATTTTGGTTCTCTAAGTAAAGGTTCACAGGTTTTCAATGTCTTGGCCAAACTTACATGATCTAAGATGGGAATAGGACATGGGTTTCCTAATTCCTCCACTGCTGCTCTACCTACTAACCCTGTTGTTTCCCTGAACCTTTACATATACTTTAGTAGATTAATAATTAACCTCCAAGTGGGGCACTTTGAAGCAAATGTAAAATGAAACCAAACACTTGTCATGGTTTTTAGTCATACCAGATTTGCAAGTAGGGTGTGTTTAAATGATGCAGGTAGATAAAGCCTTGTTAATTTAGATTAGAGTAAAAGTCAGTGCCTTATCAAAGCAAGTGACTAATTAGGAAAACTATTACCTTTTGGAAAAGAAACAGTTGAACTATCACTCAAAATTATTTTAACTAATTGAACTGTGCAACTGCTTAGGCTCGTGCAACTGCTGGGAGAGAGGAAAGACAGAGAGCTTTTCCCAGGAATTGCCAGTGTTCTGGGGGTTTTTTGATAATTTTGCTTTTAGAAAGTTAACAGTACTTGTCATCACTGTGTAAACATGGGGAAGGGAGGAGAGTCCCGTGAGTCATCAAGGAACCAAACATAAAGAATTTAAGTGAAGAACTGGAGCATTTCTATTAAATACACTGCCTTCATTCTCTTCACCTTACCAAGCCAACAGGACAGCAAAGTGCTCATGAGTGGTTCAAAATGATGAAGTGAATCTCAGGTCTGTAATAACAGACATTGGGCATTTGGGAATCTGCAAGGGTGGAAACACTAGGGCAAATTCATGGTGTGAAAAGAAAGATTACGATCAGACTGTATTTATGTTCAGACAGATACATGCAATTGTGAAGAATCATTAAATAACTGTTAACCACACCTGCACAGAGCCTCTGGCAATGCTGGCTTATACAGAATCTCAAGAACTGCCATGTGCCTGACGTCATACCTTTGCAAGGAGAGAAAAGTCTTGGGTGTTAGCCCAAGACTGGTAAGTAAAACATAGTCCACGGATTTGTGCCAGTTTAATGTCTACAAGTGACTTTCTGGTGTGTCACACCCAGTATCTTCTGCCCTGTAAACCTGTCAGTAGTCCTGATTTGTTTGCTTATGACCAGGTCTTACTAAACATCTCCAAATCTGCTTTAATGCAATGGCTCCTTCCCTCTAAGTCAGTCAGGACCGTGAGGAGGGAGTGGGTGAGTGTGTGTGCACAGAGGCAGTCTAGCACAAACAGGATCCTAACTTCTCCAGGATTGTAATTGCTACTGTGGCACCAGATGCTGCTTTGGGTTTCTTTGTACATGGATCATTTTCCTGTTTAAAAATATTGGGAGGCTTTGATATTTTTTTCATGATAGAAATGGCATTTCAGAACCTTTTTACTGTAAAAAATAAATTAATGGAAATATATGGGGGAGGGAATCAGGCAGGTTAAAGGTAGCATATGAAAAAGAAAAGGGAGCAAAGCTGAGATAAAGAGGTGAAGATGAGGAGAAAGTTGGAGTAGAGAGCTCCAATTGAGAGCACATTGCAGAGCAGTTCCACTTAGACTGCAGAAAATTTTCAGGATGCCCAGAAATCTCCAATTTGACTTCTTCTGCTGGTGTAATTTTTTTGGGCTTCTCCCCTCTACACTTTCCTCAGGCTAGGGAGTTCTCTGGCTTTTCATTTCCCATGGTGCTTTTGGAAGCGATTGTCTTTCATCTACGTTTTGTCTCTTGGAGTATACTTTTCCAGTCTTTCATGGCTAGGGGTGGTTGAGGAGTGGAGGGGTTTTTTTTGTGGTTGATTTTAGTTTTGTTTTGTTTTACATAGAATAAAAATTACAAAAAAAAAAAGGAAAAGTAAAGGTTGAACATCAGTATGTAATTTCTAAAAGGGCTGGGGCGCATCAGTTTGAAAATTCTTTCCACTTGCAGTTTCTGTACAAAATATTTCCTCCTTTTATTTTTTTTCCTAGTGAAAATCTCTAGCCACTGTTAAGAAAAGGAGATTATGAATGAGAAATAGAGCATGACTGATACACAAAGGGATTCAAATATTTGTAGACTTCACTATTCATATATGAGAAATGTAAGCTCTGGCACCTGACATTGAT